TCTTCCTCTTCGCTCTCGTCGTCGTCGTCGTCGTCTTCGTCTTCTTCGCCTTCTTCGTCTTCCTCGTCGTCTTCTGAGCCTGTCACCTCAGAGGTGCTGTATTCGTCCTCGCTGGCTGAGACTACCTGGATGCCGGCCGAATCCTCGTCGGTAAAGTCGTCTTCGTCTTCGAAGGCGCCCGTGTGGTTATTGACTGTGATTCCCTTCCGGAGTCTGATGGCCACGTTAGTGTCACCCTTGACATGATAGCGGCGCTGGGGAGGAGAAATGGAGACGCTCGACGGCGCAGTGCTGTGTGTTGCGCGCGACTTGACAGAGCGCCGCGACGACGCAGCATGGGGCATGGCGCGACGATGGGGGAGATGGGCTATGACTAACGGCATGAGGCTGGTGGTGCTGACGGAACCGCACTCGAGCCTCCTTCTACCAGAGAATGGCCGAGTCCAGGGTTCCCAAGTGCGTGAGCAAGGAGCGATGCGGCGTCGGCGATGGGAGGGTTGAAGGTGGAGCACAGGAGGGGCTGGATGTGCGGGCGAGAAGATGTCAGGAGAACGCGGGGCAGATAGATGATGCGTTGCCCTTCAGCAGAAAGACGGTACGCTACAAGGAGTGGCGTGTTGGTAAACAACCTCTACAACGACAACAGACGTTGCGTGCGGCCGGCAGACTGCGGTCAGGCGGGACAGTCGGGCGACGTCTTGGGGGAGGGCAAGAGAGCAAAGAAAGCGTCTACTGTGGAAGCCAAAACAGTTTGGTCGCGACTAGGCGGCAGTGCTGTGCTTCGGCCCTGTCTTTTCCAACGCCAAATCGATATAGTGGGAATCTGTGTCAAGGCCTGCGCCCAACTCTCCGAATTAGATAATAATGCGTAGGAAACGATTGTGCTGGCCCGGACATAGTCTGGCTGAAGCGAGGGTGAATATTGGTACTGGCCGACGCAGGTCAATAACGACGACAGCGATGGTATGGCTGCAATGTGGGAGTTCTACTGCACCTGCACCGCCCATTGCCATTGCTATTAACTTGACCTCATCATCCTGCCGTAGTACTGGCATTGCTGGGAGTCATCCTACCCTCGTCTAGTCGGCTACGTGGTTCATCTCAGCAACCTTACTGACCGCCTAGCTGCTGCCCAACTCAAATGCACGTATGCCACAACCCACAATGAAGCGGCTCCATGGGAGCCACCATGCAGCCCAACGAGGGCATGGTCGCATATCCGGGCCAGGACCGCAGGACACGTGTAGTCGTGAGTAGCGATCACTGTTTGCTTATTCGACAACAGCGTCACCGTCGAGGAAGGGCGCTTGTGCAACAAGCTGTCTAACGCGCTGGATGACATTCATCAAGTGTTGAGCACCCACGTCACAGAACATTCCTCCAACCATCAACCGGATACAGAACAACGGCAATAGACAACGTCTAGAGCGGGTCTCGATATCGGCCGGTGCGTGCCGTTCTCGCCTATCTTAGCTGCATACTCGAGTGGAGATGATGGTGTTGGGAATACCTAGTCAGAAGAACTGATGGAAGCACATGATCCCTACCTGCGAATACTTCGGGGTATACTGTCAAATCACGGAAACTGATTGTAGTTCATGAAATAGCTGCCTCTTATCCGCCTATGGCCAGAAGCTTCACGTTCATCGTCCAAGGAAGCATTGCTAGTAAGAGCAAGTGCTGTGGTAGCCGCAACGACGACAGCGTGGCGCGCAGCAGCTTTAGGCTCGCCCTTTTCCCTTTTCATTTCCAGGCATCGAGTTAGCAGACTTTCCCCATTCCAATAGTGTAGACTGCAGGGGTTTGCAGGAAAAATATACTAATGTTGAAGTTGAGCAATTTAGCTCTCTGCTGGTGGAGCTTGGTCGCCATCTTGTAGCAGTTCTTCATCTATCAATCCAGGAGCCTATGGCATCACAAAAAATAAGACCAACTAACTGCTTTTCCTGTCAAGAGCCTACCGGCTTAGATCTAGAGCTACAGGTGACTGCTATCCATATCAAGAATTCGCAAATAGCAAAGTCGTATTTCTATGGTAGCATCAACGTCCACATCAAGTACCCACAGTTAGTAATGCCAACCGTAGAGACTGACCATTGAACACCGAAGCCTGAGGCTCACAATGACGAGAGACGGGAACATCACCAACATATACCTGAAGGACAACGCATGTGCCGACTCCAACACATTCACTCCTGCTCCAGCTTTAACACAACAATACGCCATCGAGTTATCCGTATACTGTTACCATCAGTTGAATCGTATTCGCTAGGTTATACCCTTGAGGCAGTTGCAGGCTACTCCCAACTTCAACATCAAAGGATCATAATGTATCCTGGACGTGTTCGTATGTCACCTCGGCCTCTGGCCAAGACATGATATTGCACAGTGACATTCACAATACATTTTCGCATTTGCTGTCGAACATATGGTGCACGCTATAAGTGTTTATGCTATCGTGACCTTAGCCATCTACTTTGTATATTGGAGACACTCACTCTTCACATGCGACCATGGCATCATGAGCGCAAGACTCCTAGCAAGAAATATGGACACGCTGCTAAATGATACTACAAGCATGCAAACCACATGTGAGCTGGACATTGGAGAAAGGAAATCATCTCGAACTAGGGATGAGAAGCCGACTGCAAGGTCCGGCACCAAATGCGTGATCAGATTGGTATCTAGTATGCATCCACAAACGCCTCACAATGCAAGTTGCTTTTCGCCTATGCTTCCTCGTCTTCCTTGTCTTCGTCCGCTGTACCATTTGCTAGGTGTTTTCTAGGTACTTCGAAGACGTAGATGCCGTTCTTGGCCTTTCCAGACATCCATCTGGCTAATCTGGGCTCCTTGCCTACGGCAGCCACAACGCACAGCCCATCTTTGCCTCTGTCGCCCCTCTCTTGAACTGCAAGGCCATTGACAATGCCTCGTATGAGGATGGCTTCGTCCTTGGTATCGCCATTGACCATAGACTCGTCTTCCACAATCGGTACGCGCCCTACTTTACCCACTGGCTCAATGCTCTTCTTGTCCGCTGTAATCTTCCACGCGCGTATCCAGCCATCCCAGCTTGCTGTGAGGATGAGATCGGCAAAAGGAACAGTAGCAAGCGCCGTCACGTATCGCGGTAGCCGGGGACCAGGCTTTACTGATGTTGCGGCGTCATCGTTGGCTGACATTTGCTCGGGCGAGAGCGGTGGATCGCGGCCATGAGTGAGTGGGTATGTGAAGAGAGGCTTCTTCCGGTTGACAGACCATAACGACAGTGCGCCATTGTCAGATGCTGTAACGAACAAGCCCGCATCGAGAAGACCAACGCAATCGATAGAACCCTCAGCATATGCGATGAGCGGGTCGTCATCGCCGGACTTTCCGCCATTGCCTTGTTCATCCTGTTTTTCATCTCCATCAACATTCTTTCCAAATCGACCTTTGCGCAACTTGTCCAAGCCCTTTTGTCTGGCCGTACCACCTCCGTGGAATACGAGCTGGTTTTCCTCGACAACTCTCCACAAACGAGCGGTACGATCTCGTGCGCCTACACTGACGCAAGTCTCCTGGTTGAGCTCCAGCCCACCTGCTACACCAATAACAGCGTCCTGGTGTCCGACAAGCGTCTCGATGTATGCTGATTCTGGCGCACTCCAGACAATGACAGCTCGGTCTGCGCCGCCAGAGAAAAGTTGTTCGGTGCCCCTTCGGAAGGACAGAGAGAGGACGGCGTCTCGATGGCGAGTGAATAGGTGACGGGGCGTGAGGGTGTCAGCGTCCCAGATGATCAGGCGAGCATGCTTGTCACCAGTGGCCAGGTACTTTCCCGAGTCGGAGATGGCTATAGACACAATCTCGCCCGTGTGACCCAGAAAGGCGCGGTCGCCCTTTTTGTTCTTGTTCCCCTTCCGCCAGAGGAGCCTTTTTGGTGTGGTGCGCGGCGTTAGGTTGGACGGTCGGCTGGGGTCGGGCGCATACGACTTTGGGTCAGCGATTTCCCACTTCTCGACGACGAGGTCCTTGCTGATAGTCCAGGCATACGGCAGCCTGACGGCGCATCCTGTCGTGGCTTTTTGCAGCCCTGAGTAGCCGGTCGCATGTGATGCATGCTCAAAGTCAAGATCGGCGGCGATTGACCTATATATCTTGCCCTTGCCTTCTGCGACATCTTCTTTCAGCCGCTCGGCGATGAGGTCCTTGTCGATCTGCTCGGCGTCAAAGCCCACGTCCTCCTCAACCTCGTTGCGGATGTTCTCAAGATAGCGCTCTGCCAGTCTCAGGCGCTTCTCTGCCGCCGTCTCGTTTTCGTCTTCAGAAGTAGTAGAGCCGTCGTCTGCATCGTCGTCGTCGTCGAAAGTAGGTGCGCCATCATCGTCGGATATGTCGCTGCCGCTGATCGACTCTTCTCGCTGGGAGCGGCGAGCATGCGCGTCTGTGTTGCGCCGTTTGGGGGCCGGCGGCGACCTCGCCGCGCTTCCGTTTCCGTTGTGAGGCTGGTGTGGTGAAGAAGGACGACGACATTGCGGTTGCCGTTTGACCTGCGCAAAAGGAATCCAGGGAGTAGTTTGAGCCAAAAGTGCTCTCTCGTCTTCGCGGTTGCAGGTGGAGCTGAAATTTGATCGGCGAACTTTTTTCTAACGCCGACGCCAAGCTTCACAGCGCCAATGCCATCATGGGTGAAAGAATATGTTTTGCATGCCTTCTACAGACAAGCTTACCAGAATATCATACCACGAAGATTTTCGGGTGTGTTTAGTTTGCCTTGGTGTATGTAATAAATGCGACGCGACACAAATCCATGCACTTTCCCCCTAGTGGTACTTTAGATCGCAAGGCGACCATGTACTTTACATCTAGTGTCTTGGGTGTAGAAATATCACCGAGTTCAGGATGCATGAAAGGGTCCGAGTAATCATTTCAACCTCTTTCCTATGATGCCATTGTACATGATACTCATGGCTCTATCTTCAATTATCATCATCATCCAAGTCCAGGCGATGGCTCTACAGCTTCTGGTAGTCCAACTTGCCCTCCAGCTTCTTTGACTCAGCCATCTTCCGTACTGCCTTGTTGAAGTCGTCCTGGTTGATCGAGTCTCGGTAGTCTTTGATGGCGAAGAGACCACTGTGGTGGGTTAGCCATACTGTAATCATACGGGAAGAGGTGCTTACGCTTCTGTGACAACGTTACGTAGATCGGCACCGTTCATGCCATCGCTCATCTTCACAATGCTCTCAAAGTCAATCTCCCCATCTGTCACTACGCTGGCAGAGTGGATCTTGAGAATCTCGAGACGACCCACTTCATTGGGTAGGGAATCTCGAGCTTACGGTCAAGACGTCCGGCGCGGAGAAGAGCAGGGTCGAGCGTGTCTGGTCGGTTTGTGGCCATGATGATCTTGGTCTGTCCTAGGTAGTCGAAGCCGTCGAGCTGGTTTAGCAGCTCCATGAGAGTCCGCTGAATTTCACGATCTGCCGAAGTCCCCTCAGAGAAGCGTCGTCCACCAATAGCGTCGATTTCGTCCATGAAGATGATGCAGGGCTCATGCTCCTTTGCGTAACCAAACATCTCGCGGATTAGTCGCGCCGACTCTCCAATGTACTTGTCGACGATGGCCGAACTGACCACCTTGAGGAAGTTGGTCTCAAGACTGCTCGCCACAGCGCGTGCCAATAGTGTCTTACCAGTGCCCGGCGGTCCGTAGAGCAACACTCCCTTTGGTGGTTTGATGCCTACTCGCAGGAAGAGCTCTGGATTCTTCAGCGGCAGTTCAATCACCTCACGTAGTTCTCTGATCTGCTCGTTGAGACCACCAATACCGCCAAAGCTAACCTGCCCCGGGTCTTCGAGCGACATGTTGTAGACGAGCGGATCGACTTCACGGGGGAGCATGCATTATGGTAAGCGTCGTCATATCCAGAGCCACACGTGTGCCTTGCTTGAGCTTGGCCTTGTCGACCTTTGACCGGCATCCCACGACGTAACGGGGCCCCGAGGATGCCTTGACAATGACTGCGGGGACATTAGTGTGGCGTCTCTTGAGCTCATGCAAACGCATACGTACATCGTTCCTCGTCCAGCTGCTTCAGTACCTCTCCTATTATCTGGCCGACGCTCTGCAGCGCCTTGATGTTGTCCTCTGATACGTCAAAGTCGTGCTGGAGGCCTTTGATGTCCAGTCGCAGCGCCTTGAGCTTGGCCTCCCATTCTCTCGACTCAAGCAGCTTGGACTTGTAAGCTTCGAGGGCGTGTTCGCGCTCTTGGTCGCCGCTTCCGCTCATGGTGAGGTTGTGCGGTGGGTGTGAGTGTAGTTGTGATGGAGGATGAGGGCGGGAGGCGGTAATGGCGAGGCGGCCGGGCTTGGTGCGGAATCGAGATGGTGGTGTATCAGTATACGCAGTCAGTGATAGCGAGTATCAACCTGGGCTGGGGTCAAAGGTTGGAGCGCGAGATGTCCGTGGTGACGGCGATGATGTTCGGTGATGTCGTTGGTGTTGTTGCGGAATGCGGGAGACTGTCCGAGAAAGTGAGAGCGCGTCTGGTCGGAAGCTCCGACCCTGCATCCTTGAGCTTGCGACAGCCGATCCGCCCACGACAAACTCACTGCATCGTCATGATGGAAATCGATGGATCACAGTCGCCGAGCAAGATGAAGCGCTCGCGTGCTGACATGGAGGCTGACGGCGCCGTCTCTGCCAGAGAAGCTGCTGCCCAAGTCCAAGACGGTATTGCCAATCCGCGCCCCACGCGCACCAACTCCCTAACATTCTCTTAGACGATACATCCTCCGACGACGATGACTTTGGGCCGGCCCTCCCGTCCTCAGCGCCCAAGAGGAAAAAGCGCAAGTTGCCGTATGAGAAGCTCTATGTCGCTGCCCTGCCCAGCGCAACCCGCTATTCCAAATCACTCATGCACCGCGAGCAACTATGCTTTACCACTTTGACCCCCCACACCGACTTCCTCATAACAAGCTCCGTTGACGGCGTGGTCAAGTTTTGGAAGAAGGACTTTGGCGGTATAGAGTTTATCAAGGAGTTCAAGGCGCACAATGGCGAGATCAAGTCTGTCAACGTGAGTGCCGATGGCCGTAGTTTTGCTACTGCAGGCGCCGACAAGACGATCAAAATCTTCGACGTTGTCACCTTCGACCTCCTGGCCATGCTGAGCGTCGACTACACACCTAGGGCGGTTTGCTGGCTGCACGGCCGAGGCGCAAGCTTTCCCCAACTCGCCGTCAGCGCCGAAGAGAATAGTTGCATCTGCATATACGATGGCAGGGGGGAAAACCCGGAGCCGCTACAAACGCTGAAGAGCATACACAGGGCGTCGGTCAGCATAATGGCGTACAACAATGAATTCGACTGTGTCGTGAGCGTCGATCAAGGGGGCATGGTGGAATACTGGAGACCCAATGGAAACTATGAAAAGCCAGACAACGTATGGTCGCTGAAGAGCTCCACGAACTTGTTCGAGTTCAAAAAGTCAAAATGTGTGCCCTCGTCGCTTACCATATCCCCTACTGGGAAGCAGTTTGCGACCTTTTCCTTTCCGGATCGCAAGATCCGCATCTTCGATTTTGCAACGGGCAAACTCTATAGGACATACGATGAATCTATTGAGACTATCACCAGCATGCAACAGGCCGGTACCGCTGTCCAGCATCTAGAAGACATGGAGTTTGGTCGACGGATAGCCGTCGAGAGAGAGCTTGACCAGCCCACGACAAGGGGTCGCATGAATGTCATATTTGACGAAACGAGTAATTTCATTTTATACGGCAGCATGTACGGCGTCAAAGTCATCAACACATTGACCAACAAGCTCGTGAAGCTGTACGGCCAAGAAGAATCCATCCGGCCGCTATGGCTGTGTCTCTACCAGGGCCAGCCAGAGAAGAAGGGTGTTGTCACAGTCGAAATGGCAGCAAGCGAGAACCCACTACTCCAAGAAGCCGAGGCGAGAGACGCTATGCTGGTCTCGACAGGTTCTGGCAAGGTCCGCTTCTACATGTACACCAATGATGCCAGCGCTACCAAGTCGACTCGTGACGTGCAGAACGAGAAGCCCCGTGCCGCCGCCTCGAACAAACAAAAGGACGACAAAGCGCTTGCAGCAACGGGTACTACGGCCATTCTCCACACTACCTACGGCGACATTACCATCCGTCTCTTCCCGGACGCGGCACCCAAGGCCGTGGAGAATTTTGTCACGCACGCACGCAACAACTATTACAACAACGTCATCTTCCACCGCGTAATCCGCAAGTTCATGATACAGACCGGTGACCCACTTGGCGACGGCACCGGCGGAGAGAGTATCTGGGGCAACGAGTTTGCAGACGAGTTCTCCAACTTGAAACACGACAAACCCTATACGGTGAGCATGGCGAATGCTGGGCCAAATTCAAACGGAAGTCAATTCTTTATTACTACTGAAAAAACTGTAAGTTTCCATCTCTCTCTCTCTCTCTCTCTCTCTCTGTCCGTCTCTCTCTCTTTCTCTCATCATCTATCAGTCCGATGGCGAAGCGGCACGCTGACTGTGACATACATATAGCCCTGGCTCGACAACAAGCATACCATCTTTGGACGAGCGATCGCAGGCATGGATGTTGTTCACAAAATCGAGAACACCAAGGTATACAAGGAGAAGCCGGAGGAGGATATCAAGATTATCAGCATCTCCATCTCTTAGGAGTGCGAGCGGCAAGACAATGGACTTGATAGTCGAATGCGTAGGGCATTCCCGTTGTTCCTTTTGAAGTGGAAGAATGGTGCAGTACCACGCATTGCATAGCTTTGATACCTAGTTGCACATCAAGAAATGCAAGTATAGTAGGGACGAACCAAACTACTACCCTGCAAGCATCACGTTTACTGTAAAGTCTGCAATTTCGATACATTAACTCGTACCCATTATTCTCCCCATCGACATACTGCGCAGGATTCAATACGTGCTCGTTTGCCTAAACGACTGGTCTAGGATGAACGCAACAACTACGTCTCAGGACAACTCAAGACGTCATCCCGTGACATAAGAAATACAACCAAACGCCGCCTAAGCCATGCGCCTAGACCCGCTATATAATTCAAACGACGCCTGACAGTAATAAGAAACTGCACATCATCGCTGCCCAAGATCCTGGTATCATATGCGAACGCGTGCGAGTGCGCCAAAGCCCTCCATGAGGCGCCATTATCCCCAACTAGGCAGAAAAAAACCCCCAAAGCAAACCTATACAAGCAAACCAAAGTGGCGTGCAGACCATCCCATTCCTAGACGCCAGTAAATGTAAAGTTGCTTGCGAACGTGTAGAAATTCTTGCTCTACACGACTACTTCGCAGCACCTTGGGAAGGCGAGCTGCGACCGACGGAGTGTGGTGCGGGCGCACTAGTAATGGAAGTGCGCTTCTGTGTCCTGAGCGCGTCAAGTTTTTTCTTGAGCGCTCGCTGACGGCTTCTCATCTGCTCGAGAACTGTGACGGTTAGCGGCATTCCCCTCAGAGGACACTGTAGCGGCACTTACGCTTCTGAATCGAGCGTCGATCTTCGCCATCGAGACCATTGATTTCCTCAGCATCAGCCTTGTCGTTGGGCGAGTCTTCCTCTTCTTCCAAGACAGCTTGAAGCATTGTAATGGCAGTCCAGTAATTGATATCACAGTCGGCCAAGTTGTGTCCAGTGAGTTCGTCAATAGCTGCCTGGCGGCTCATCTCTAGGGAGCGGTCGTACAATAGTTTCTCGGCCGTAACGCCAGTTGTAAGCAGGATGTTCTCGGCAGAACCGACCGCAGTCGCAGAGCCAGATGCTGCCGACCGGTTCTGAGGATGACTGGGATGGTCTGTTGGTAGCTGCTGCTGTGCCTGCTTGAGCTTGCGTGCAACAATCTCAGATTTGATACAGCATTCATTGAATCGGTCGCGCATCCACGAGACAACCTGGCCAAGCTTTGCGTTGGTTCGACCTGCTCCGTCGGAGCCACTAGTACGGCGAGTCCGGTTCCAGTAACTCCCGGTTAAGTCCATGGCCTTGTTCAACATTGCCAACGTTTTGACAAAAAGCACTAGCGCTTCCTCAGAGATGATAAGAACAGTATCGGGCGTCAAGTCATCGTCGTCATCATCGTCATCCTCAATCACATCACTACTAGGCTTGCGAGCAACGCCTGTGGAGCCGATACCTAGAGCTGGATCGCTTGGTGCAACTGGGACGAGCTGGCTGTACTTGACTTCGGCGAAACCATAAACAACGTGACTGAGCTGCGCCAGATCCTCAATCCTCTTCACAGTGGTCATGTCCTCGTCCTTGCCAACCACTTTGCCTCCGTCGCCGACTAGCAGCATGCTGCTTTGTGCAGTCGGATACGCTGGAAATGCGGAATAGCCCTGTGGGGGAGATACGCCCTTCATAACAGGTGGCGACAGACCAAGCCCTCGAATGTTGACCATGTTCATAGCCTTGGATAGGGCGGAAGTAGCGGTTTCGAAACTTGGGCGATACTGTCTCCGGCTGTAAGAAGCTGTGCGTTGGTGCGTAATGGCTGGCTTTTGTTGGATCTGAATAGCTTTGGAGGGGACTGCGCCAGTGGTCGATGTTGGAGACCCTTGTGTTGTCGAACGTCGCTTCATAGCGGCCTCTCGGTGAATGGGACGATCTCGCTGTGTTTGCGGGCTGTTAGCAATCTCGTCTGCGAGTGCATCAATCTCCACACGGCGCTTCTCTACAAAGACAAAGCCCTCATCCAACGCGTTATCTTGTGCGGCTCGTTCTGCGGCTTCTTTCAGTACGTTAGCTTCAGCTCTCTGTGGGATCCGCTCGCGTTCAAAGTGCTCCTTGAGGCCGGTTGGTGTCGGTGCTTGCTCATCGCGAGAATACTTGCGCCTGTGGCTGATAGTAGTAGCTGCGGCGGTCTGATCTTGCAGTGTCGCGGTACGTCCCGGTGCGGTTGCAGCGTTGGTAAGAGTGGGTCGGCGGTGTTCGCGAGTTGAAGTGCGTTCCTCGCTAGGATCAATCGGGGCGTTGCTGGCTCTTCGTGCAGAAAGATGTTGCGGCGGAGTGCTCGAGAAGTTACCGGAAACGGGTCTGGAGCTAGGCCGTGAAGGCGGTGTTGTGCCAAGGGTAGTCGTCCTGTCTCTGGGCAAGGGCGAGTAGGGGCTGTCAGCAGTTCTTGAGTCGATCTCAACAGGCGCTTTCTGTAGTCGCTTGGGTGGCTCGATCGGTGGCTCTAGTACAGAGGTTTGCATACGTTCAGAAGCTTGCATGGAGCCAGGAAGGTCT